CCCAACAAAAAACTGCCTCATTGTATACTCTGAGTCCTTTAACTCTCTGTCAGCAGGTGGGCAGCATATAAAATAATAACAGGCAGGTAGGTGGCAAAATGGACAGAGCGTTGGACCTGGAGTCAGGAAGAACTGAGTTCAAATCTTGCCTCAGATACTTCCTAAATGTATGAATGCGGGCAAGTTGCTTAACCTCTGTCTGCCTCGGTTTCCTCATCTGTAAAATGGGGATAATAATAGCACCTTCCTCCCAGGGTTGTTGTGAGGAGACAATGAGATAATATTTGCAAAGTGCTTTGCAAACCTTAAAGTGCTATATAAAATGCTAATCCTCCGGCTCTTTCATTGGTAAACTGAAAAGTTTGGACTAGAAGATCTTCAAGAATCATTCCAGCCCTGACTCTCTGTGAATTCCATGGGATCTCTTCAGCAGTTTTCTTATAAGTAAACTTTAAAAAAAAATTATCTCTGTCAGTGCAGATTGTAGCTACTTCCTACTCTCTTATTCTAGGCTGTCTTTTTTTCCCAAAATCATGTATGGAAGATCCATCTAACATACTGAATCCATTCTTCTAATTCCTGTAATATCTTGGAGGTCCTCAGTGTACTACTTGGGCCATCTCTCTGATAACCCTTGCTGTCGGTACACGCCTGGCCTACCTCCTTTTCCAGTAATACATGTCACCTTGATGATGTCTTTTATCCCGCTTTTCATGCACAAACTATTTATTTCCACTGCCCTTTGGATGATTTGTCAATTTGATTCTTATGAGATCACGGTGTTCCATGATTTGCATGTTCATGGCAACAGTGAGATAATGCTGATGTTAAATAGATGGGCTTTGGTGACATTGAGCAGTAATCTTTGCTTTTTATTTTTTTTGTACATGACGTTATTGTATTCATGCTGCCTGGAACGTTTTAGACTGCCATGTTGGACTGTTCCATTGATTTGGCCTTAGTTTGCAGTCCACTAAAACTCCCGGGTCTTTTTCTTTTTTTTCCCCCCTACTCTGCCTCCCTCCCCGCTCCCTTGAAAAGAATAAGAAAAGGCTTTGTAACATATAATCCCGCATTGGCCATGTCTGAAGGTATATGCCGCTGAATAGTTTTCGATGGGATTTCATAAAATCGATGTTTTATCCATCTGCAGGCGCTGCAGATGGAACAAGTGACCTCAGCCTCCCGGTGCTTAGAATCCAATGAGAGAAGGCATGAGTTAGTAGCTGGATCCCCTCTTGTCTTCCCCCCACCCCCACACGCATACATACTCCTCAACCTTCTTTCTTCCCCCAGCAGGGTGTTTGCTCCTTCTGGGTTTTGATGGGTGACCTTGGGAGTTTAGATAGGTTTTGTTTAGGAGTCCAGTTCGGTGAGAGGGAATTGAAGAGTGACCTTCGCTTGATGGCAGAACAAAAGAACAGTAAAGAGCTCTCTGTATCACAGCACCTGCAGGGAACCAGGAGAGCAGTTCTCTAAGTGTGGTCTGTAAACACTGAGGGTGTGGATACCCCTTTCAGAGGCTCCAGAAGGTCAGAACTATTTTTGTAATAATACTAAGATATTTGCCCATTAAAATACTCCTCTCTTTTCCAACTACATAGCTACAAAAGTCTAGATTTTCTTCATATACTTCAGCCAAAGCAACATATCACAAGAGATTGATTAAATGCAGAAGCAGGTAGGAGAATACAACTGTCTTCTATTAGCCAGATATTAAGGAGATTTGAAAAAATGTACAAAGCAGTGCCACTCATCTCACTAAATTCTTTTTATTTTATTTTTTTCTTTTTTTAAAAATTTTATTAGTTTATTTTGATTTATCAACAATCACTTCCATATGCTTTTGAGTTGAAAATTTTTCTCCCTCTTCCTCCCACCCACCCTCCCCAAGATGGCCCACAATCTGATATAGGTTTTATATTTACATTCCTATTAAGCATATTTTCACATTATTGAAGTTGTAGGTAAAAATTAAAACCAACAGGAGGAACCATCAGAAAGATGAAACAAAACTCAACAGAAGGTAAAAATAAATGATAGCAATTCGACTTTCATAGTTCTTTCTTTGGATGTGGACAGCATTTTCCATCCCGAGGCCTCTGGAGATGTCTTAGATCCTCGTAATGCTGAGAAGGGTTCAGTTTAACAATCTTAGTCATTGCATAACGTGGCTGTTATTGTGTACAAAGTCCTCTGGGTTCTGCTCACTTCACTCAGCATCAGACCATACAAGTTTTGGCAGGTTTTTCTGAAGTCAGCCTGTTCATCATTTCTTATAGCACGATAGTATTCCATTACATTCCTATACCACAACTTGCTCAGCCATTCCCCAATTGATGGGCATCCTCTCAATTTCCAATTCTTTGCCACCACAAAAAGAGCTGCTATGAATATTTTTGTACATGTGGGTCCTTTTCCCATTTGTTTGATCTCTTTGGGCTATAGCCCTAGAAGTGCTATTGCTGGATCAAAGGGTATGCACATTTTTGTAGCCCTTTGGGCATAGTTCCCAATTGTTCTCCAAAATGGTTGGATCATTTCACAACTCCACCAACAGTGTATTAGTGTTCCAATTTTCCCACATCTTCTCCAACATTTATCATTTTCCTGTTTTGTTATGTTGGCCAATCTGATAGGTGTGATGTGGTACCTCAGAGTTGTTTTGATTTGCATTTCTCTAATCAATAATGTAAATTCTTTTTATTTTAAAAAATAGTTATTTTTCATTTAAAAAACATGTTCATGGTCAATGGGTTTATGATTGTTATTTTAAAATGATTAATAAATTAATAATTTATCGGGTTTAATTTTTAATGTGGTAAATATAGATATAACCCACATAAACAAAAGTTTGTTGGGCTCCTCAGTAGTTTTTAGAAGCATGAAAGAGTCCTAAGACCAAAAAGTTTGAGAACCACCGCCCTAGAGAAAGCCCATTGCTGGGCTTATTATACAGCAGAGGCTTGGGTCTCTGAGCCATTCCACAGCAGAGATGTGGGAGCAGTTTTGTTAAATGGATGTCTTCTTTGCAGTGGCATTTCTTGTAATGGAATTCTAGAGAATCCCATTTTTTCATAGGAGACAATCTAGTTTTTAGTAAGGAAAATAGGCTGGTGTAGTTTTGAGGCTATGCCCAGAGAATGGGATTGTTGGATTCTGCATTGTCAGCTTCAAACAGTTCCTCACTCAGGGTCTTGACTATGACCTGGGTCCTAGCAGTGGAGTGACTCAAGCTGTTCATTCAAGACCTCAGCTTGTCTAAGCTCTGTGGGAATGAAATTCAGATTCATTCCTTACCTTGTATAGTGTTTGAGCACTGAAGACAGAACCTTACAGGGAGGTTCTGTGGGGTCACCCAGTGAGGGCAAAGCTGCTTGTATGAAAAAGAGACAGGAGCCCATCCATTGGGGAATGGCTGAACAACTTGTAGCATATGAATGTAATGGAATACTATTGTGCTATAAGAAATGATGAGCAGGCAGACTTCAGAAAAACCTGGAAGGACTTGTGTGGACTGATGCTGAGTGAAGTGAGCAGAACCAGGAGAACATTGTACACAGTAACAGCCACATTGTGCAATGGCTGACTTTGACAGACGTAACCCTTCTCAGCAATACAAGGATCTAAGACATCTCCAAAAGTCTCATGATGGAAAATGCTATCCACATCCAGAGAAAGAACTATGGAGTTTGAAAGCAGATCAAAGCATACTATTGGCTTTTTTTTTCTTCTGTTTTGTTTCCTCTTTCTTGTGGTTCCTCCTATGGGTTCTAATTCTTCCTTAAAACATGACTAATGTGAAAATATCTTTAATAGGAATGTATATGTAGAGCCTATATCACATTGCATGCCTTTTTTTTTTTTGCTTTTAGGCAATTGGGGTTGAGTGACTTGCCCAGGGTCACACAGCTAGTAAGTGTCAAGTGTTGGTCTGAGGCCAGATTTGAACTCAGGTCCTCCTGACTTCAGGGCCGGTGCTGTATCCACTGTGCCACCTAGCTGCCCCCATTGCATGCCTTCTTGAGGAGGGAGGGGGAGAAAAACTTAAAACTCAAAAGTTTATGGAAATGATTGTTGAAAACTAAAAATAAATTAATAAAAAAAGATTACTAGAAAAAAGAGAGACGGAAGGATAAAATAGGGGCCTAATTCAAGCACAGATTTAGAACTTTAGAATGTTAGGTATGAAAGGGCCTTTGAGACAATCTTGTCCGTCATTTTACTACTAGGGAAACTGAGGCCCAGAGAGAGAAAGTCACTTGCCTACAGTCCAGCACTTTTCCTTGTGGAGTTGGTGACATTCTCTGTGTTCCCTAGTGTTGATTATCTCTAATTTATCCTTTCTGTATCTTGTTTGTAACTAATTGTTTGCGTATTGTCTCTCTGTGAACTCTGAGAGGAGGGGCCTGTCTTTTGCCTTCCCCCCCACTCCCAGTACTTAGTGTAGTACCTAGCAAATGGTCGATGCTTAATATAAATGCTCGTTGACTGACTTTTCTCCCCCTTCCTCTCCTTTCCTGTTCTGACCTCCTTAACCCGAACCCTAATAATTCCCTCTCTTCTTTACCCATCTCTGGAGTCTGCTGACCACACCCACTGGCGCTGGTCAGTCCCTTGAGATTCACAGTGCCTCTGGGCCCTGGATCTGAAAGGCCTGGGGAAACATCGCATCATAAACAGGAAGCTGGAGGGGAAGTTGGGAGTCAGCTAGTCCAATTCCTTCATTTTGCATATAAGTAAGGCCTCAGGTAGTTAACTGATCATTCAAGCATCAGTGACTGTGCCCCGGGACTCCACATCTAGCCCTCATTACATCACACAGCTCTGTCCTGGCAGACCAGAACCAGATGGCCATAACCTCTGTTTTCCTGTTGGCCAAACCTGGGATCCAGCCAGGACCCCTGTTATAGCGTCTAATGGAGCATTTCAGAGGGAATTCTGAGCAGAGCAGTGAGTCAGGTGCCGGGCTGCCGTGAGCAAGGATTCTGTCCATGCAGGACCTGGTGAGGAGAAGAAAGATGGGTGGTCGTGGGCTGTGTACCTGGAGGAGCAGAAGGCCATCGCTGCGCCGCTGGATCTCTTCCATGATGTGAGTTCTGGAATTTCCATATGGGAGATCCCACCTACCTTTCTACCCCTGGGGAGGCCCACTGCTGCGTGGTCTCTGATATTATTGATGTACTTAATAGAGGAGATAGAGAAGGCCAGAGCTGGGAAGAGGCTGGAAGGGCGAGGAGCCCCAGGTGTTGGCCAACTCCCTGACCCACCTCTGGGCTTCCTGTTCCTTAAATTTCTGTGCTCTCCTACCTTGCTCCCTAGTGTCTATTTCTCAATCCATGAGTATGTTTGGTGGGGGAAAAGGTAGGTAATAGATGTAACCCATGTGCTAGCTCATCACCCCGCCAAAGTTCAGTGCCTTGGTCTTATTCATAAGCAGCCAGCTCTTTCTCTCCTTCTCTCTCTCTCTCTCTCTCTCTCTCTCTCTCTCTCTCTCTCCTCTCTCTCTCTCTCTCTCTCTCTCTCTCTCTCTCCTGATTTTTCCCGGAAGCATCATGCCCTGTAGGCCTTTTCTCTTTCTCTCCCTCAACAATACTTAGCTAGGCCTTGGGGTTGGGTCTCCTCGACATCCCCCTTGAACTTCCCCAATACCCTTATCTTACAGTGCCAGGCTTTCCCTCAGAACAAGAATGGCTTCAAACTGGGCATGAAGCTGGAAGGAATTGACCCTCAGCACCCATCCATGTATTTCATCCTCACAGTGGTGGAGGTGAGTCCTGTATGGCATGCCGCTAGTGGGGAGGGAGGCTTGGGAGGAGCCTTCAGAGCCTAAGCAGAGCCTGGCACCAGACAGTGAAGCTTTATAGGCCGAATGGTATGTGTAAGTGCTGCAGGCTTACAAATGAGTGATGTCCCTTGGGTCTCCAGCTTACCTGGGATGACTTCACTGAGGAGTAGTATTTGGAAAGGTACAAAGGTAAAGGGGAAATAGTCCTTATGGGCAAAAAGACTGAAGCTGGAGTGCAAAGGGTATGTTTGAGGGACAGTTACATAAAGTGGTTTGTTCAAAGTTCAGAGTTCATGTTGGGCAGCTATAAGTGGGAAGCATAGATTGGGGCTGGATCGTAAAGGGCTTTGAATGCCATTATCATCACCAGAATGGGCAGGGCTAGGACACAAGTCAAGAAGTGAGAGCCAGAGGGGCAGCTAGGTACGCAGTGGATAGAGCACTGGCTCTGAAGTCAGGAGGACCTGAGTTCAAATCTGGCCTCAGACCAAACACTTGATACTTACTACCTGTGTGACCTTGGGCAAGTCACTTAACCCCAATTGCCTAAAAAGCAAAAAAAAAAAAAAAGAAGAAGAAGTGAGATCCAGAACCGGTGGGGAGTAGCTTACAGAGGGAAGGGGCTTTTCAGCTTGGCAGGATTATCTGAACCCAGAGGCTAGAGCTGTGTCCTTCATAGAGGAAACAGATAATCTCAGAACTAAAGCCCCAGGAGTCCCAAGTGAAGAGGCCCTTCAGTGTCTGCCTTTTATCTCTGCAGACCCCCAGCCTCTGTTTAAGTCTTACCAGGGTACCCCTTCTTATAAGTGTATGCTCATCTTGTCTCCCTCCCATAGAATGTCAATCAGCAGGCATTTATTGGATGCCTCCTCTGTGCCAAGGACTGTGCTCAGTGCCGGGGATACAAAGGAAGTCAAAAGATTGTCCCTGCCCTCAAGGAGCTTACAGTCTAATGGGGAGACAAAATGTCAGCCACCACATCCAGGAGATATGCAGTGTAAATGGAAGATAACAGAGGGAAGGTGCTAGCAGTGGAGATGACTAGGAAAGGCCTTTTGTAAAAAGTGGCCTTTGTGCTGAGAATGTGAGCTCTCTGAGGGCAGAGACTGGTTCCTGTGTGTCTTTGTGCCCTCTGTATCTGGCTCACAGTCTGGCACATAGTGGGCACATGTTTTTTGACTGTCAAAAATAAATAAATTAGGGGCAGCTAGGTGGCACAGTGAATAGAGCTCTGGCCTTGGAGTCAGGAGGACCTGAGTTCAAATCCAGTTTCTGCCACTTAACACTTACTAGCTGTGTGACCCTGGGCAAGTCACTTAACCCCTCACCAAAAAAAAAAGACAAAAAATAAATAAATTAATCAATTAATTAATTAAGTGAAGGTCAGTGACGAGGCAGATGAGCAGCCAAATGAGGAAACTGAGGCCTGGGAAGTTTTAGTGACTTACCGGAGGTTGCAGAAGCAATAGTGAGACTTGAACTCGGGCCCTATGACTTCAGCATCAGTGTCCCTTTCAGTATAGTCAGTGATGGCTTTGGGGTTTCATGGTTGTTCAGGAGAATGAGGGTGTGGGGTGGAGGGAGGAGTCAGGAAAAAGACTGGGTTTTTAGCAAGAGATGAATATGCTGTGCTCATTTTGGGACACGTTGAGCTTGAGGTGCTAAATGGGCATCCAGGAGGAGGTGTCCATGGCCCATGGAAGCTGCTGAGGCTGACCTGGGACTTAGGGGAGAGTGGTCAAGGATAGAGATTTAAAGTCGAGAGTCACCCCTGTAAAGGTAACCCTGGGAGGAGATGATTCTGCCAAGAGAGAGAATTTAGAGTGAGACTGAAAACAGAGGGCCAGAGCGAAGTTTCCCGGGTTCCTCTTGTTCCCATTTCCCCATAAAGCGGGCACGATCTAAACTCTGTGCCTGTGTCTTTGCACCCCCCGGTACCTAGCACAGGGCCTGGCACACAGTAGGTGCTTAACCAATGATTGTTGAATGAATGAATGAGAGGAGAGGAGAACATGAAGGTGAAAAGGTGTAGGGATTGAGAAGAAGAGGGGCAGGAGAGAAGTCAAGGTCAGCCTGCTGGCCCCTGGCTCAGCCCCTGGCCTGACACTGGTCTTCCTTTCCCTTGAGCTCTCATGTTTCCCCTCCTGCTAGGTTTGTGGATACCGAATGCGTCTGCACTTTGATGGCTACTCTGAGTGCCATGACTTCTGGCTCAATGCGGATTCCCCCAACATCCACCCTGCTGGCTGGTTTGAGAAGACTGGACACAGACTACAGCCCCCCAAAGGTAAGGCTTGGCCGAGGCCAGCCCCCGACCAGTACGGGCTGGGGAATGTGTCTGCCCTGTCCTTCCACTCCTTCCTTACTCCAGCACTCTCTCCCCACTCACTCCCCGCGTGGCCACCGAGTCCTGGAGGAAGGGGGAGGGTCTGGTGTTCCTTGGCAGGAGAGAGGCTCCTGCCGGGCTCCTGGGGCTGGAGGGAGGTGCCTGACTTGACTGCTGGGGTCTGTCCCTTTCATGCTCCCCTGTCCCCAAGGACCAAGCCATGCCCCAGCTTCCATACCCTTCTCTATTTGTTCCCCCTGAGGGGACTAGGTTACAAGGAGGAGGAGTTCAGCTGGAGCAACTACCTCCGAAGCACTAAGGCCCAGGCTGCCCCCAAGCACCTGTTTTCCAGCCCTAGCAACGTAAGTGTCCAAGTCACCTCCCCCACCCTGCCGTGCCAGGAGAGGGTCTTCCTCTTCTTCTTCCTTCAGACCAGGGAGAGGGCAACTGCATCCCCAAGCCTGAGTGACTTTGAGCAGTCCTTTACCCTATCTGGGCTTCCATTTTCTCATCTGTAAAAGGTAGGAGTTGGACTAGATGTCCTCTGAGGTAGCTTTCACCTCTAGACCCGTGAGCCAAGAATCCTGCCTTTTCCTTGGATCAGGAAAGTGAGTGATTTCTCCTCCCTACATAGGCAAAAAGGATACACCTTTGCCTGGTCCAGATCCAGGGAGTGAGCTCATTGGTCTCAGGGAAGTAGTGGGGGCCACATAGTTCTATTCTGGGTAGAGAAGATAATCGTACATTCCTAGTTCCATTCCCTAGGGCGTTCTCCTTGTGTCCTTCCTCAGTTTCCCCTGATGAATGCTATGTCCTGTCCAGTCATCCATCTCAATCCCTCAGGCCAACTCCCTCTGAATGAGCTTTGCAAGATTGAAAGTGTGTTGAAAAACCTAGTCGAATGTAAGCTCTTTGAGGGTAGGAACTGTTTTTGGTTTTGTATTCTCAGTGCCTAGTAGTGACAGGCACATAGTAGGTTCTTAATAATTTTTAAAAATCGAATTAGATTGAAGGCTTGGCACCAAACTTACCCCTTTTTCCCCAGCCTTCTTCTCCCCAAGTGTGACTTTGAAGCTACTGTCTCTTCTCTTGTCATTGGACTCAAGAGTGGAACAGTGGCTTTGGGCAGGGACGGAAGTCTTAGTTTGGTCTGTGACAGAGGGACTCACGTTCCCCTACAGAGCTCAGTGCCCACAGGCTTCCAGGTGGGCATGAAGCTGGAGGCTGTGGACCGCATGAACCCCTCCCTCATCTGCGTGGCCAGTGTCACCGACGTGGTGAACGGGCGTTTCTTGGTGCACTTTGACAACTGGGACGACACTTACGATTACTGGTAGTGGGAGCAGTCCTGCTGTGCAGGGAGTGGGGTGGTCATCTTGGGACCAATAAGTGGGGGAATGGGGTGACAGAACACAAGATACAGGTGCTGTCTTAGCCTGAGACTTCCATGCCACCCCTCAGTAGTCACCTCGGTAAAGTGGAGGGAATGCTGACGAACTCTGGAGTCAGAGGCCTTGCATTCAAATCCTACCCGTCACTGCCACACTCTTCCTGTGGACTTTGGGCAAGTCCTTTTTGGGTCTCAGTTTCTTCACCTGAAAAATGAGAGTGAGACCAGATGACCTCTAAGGCCTGTCCCAGCTCTAAATATATGATCCAAGTATATAAAGGCCCTTTTAGTTCTCAATCTACAATCCTTTAACCACAGTGTCAGCACCACCTTTATGACCTCAAGTCCCTGCACTTCTTATTAAGGTTATCAGGACTCTGGGACCAATGTTGGCAAGGAGACCCTTTCAGGACCAACTAGAATTGAACCTCCATTTTCTGACCCTCATTTCAGGGGCTCGAGGAGGTGACTTGATACTCTGAGGCCAGACCACTGTAGGTTCCTTGCCTCTTTCTTTCTACTCCTTCATCCCCATCTCTTCCTCTTTCTCTCCTCTACTTCACCCATTCTTTCTTTGTTCCTCTCTCCTTTTTCTTCAAAGGTGGCTGCTACCTCTTTTCTTTTTTTGTTATTGTTTTTCTTGATAATTATTTGTTTTTAGTCTTTTTTTGTTTTTTTTTTTTTAGGCAATTGGGGTTAAGTGACTTGCCCAGGGTCACACAGCTAGTAAGTGTCAAGTGTTTGGTCTGAGGTCAAATTTGAACTCAGGTCCTCCTGACTTCAGGGCCGGTGCTCTATCCACCGCGCCACCTAGCTGCCCCTGTTTTTAGTTTTCAACATTCACTTCCATAAGATTTTGAGTTTTAAATTTTCTGCCCCTCCCATTCCTCCCTCCACAAGACAGCGTGCAATCTGATATAGGCTCTACTTATACATTCGTATTAAGCATATCTTCCCATTAGTCATGATGTAAAGAACAATTAGAACTAATGGGAGGAACCACGAGAATGAAGCAATAAAACAAAACAACAAAGGAAAAGGAGAGCAAATAGCCTGCTTCCATCTGCATTCAGACTCCATAGTTCTTTCTCTGGATGTGGATAGCAATGTCCATCCTGAGTCTTTTGGAGTTGTCTTCGATCCTTGCGTTGCTGTGAAGAGCCAAGTATGTCAAAATCAGTCATCACGCAATGTGGCTGTTACTGTGTACAGTGTTCTCCTGGTTCTGCTCACATCACTCAGCATCAGACCATATAAATCTTCCCAGGTTTTTCTGAAGTCAGCCTGTTCATCATTTCTTATAGCACAACAGTATTCCATTACATTTATATCCCACAGCTTGTTCAGCCATTTCCCAATGGATGGGCATCCCCTCTTTTCTAACAGACCTGGGCATTCAAGGGTAGAGGGTGTCTCAAGGCCCTGAGGGCCTTAGCAGAGCGGGGCTAACAAGGGGAGCGAGGAAATTCCACTAAAACCATGAGGAGAAAAGATGGAAAGAAGGAAAATGTGGGGACTGGGATAACCTGGAATAAGAGGGTGGGGGGGCTCACTGAATTAGGTTCCCAATCAGGCCACAAACAAAAGACCAAACTTCCTCATCCTCCACCAGCTAACATTTTAAATAGAGAGCATCACCCAGTTGATTTTTTTGACTTAAGGGAAAAAAAAACAAATGTCTCCTTATGTTATTTTAAAGTTGAGGAAACACTTTCTAATTAATCAGATAATTAATCTGAAAAGCATCATGAGGTTAAGACAAATTAATTATTTAAAACATAATTTCTACTGAGACAAGATTATGCTATTCAGATTTTCCATCACCATCTGCTTTTTAAAAACTCTGTTGTTAATGTTTTCAGCATTAAAGAGACTTTTAAAAAAATCATAAGCCAGAGCTATTTGGTCCCTGAAGTCCTGACCATCATAAGGAGGCCCAGAGTCTGAGAGCTGCACTCTGAATATTGAGGTCTCCTTGTGTTTCAGGTGTGACCCCAGCAGTCCTTACATCCACCCTGTTGGCTGGTGCCAGAAGCAAGGAAAACCCCTCACACCTCCACAAGGTGACCTGGCTAATCCCCTTCCCCCATGCTCCATCCTTCCCTTCTATGCCCCTCCTTCATCAAGTACATTTCAATTGTGGGAAACTCTGGTAAGAGGGATGCTGGTTCTCAGTCTATGGACACCACCCACCTGGTTACCTTGTGTTGGTAGAGAAAAGTGTCTCAGCCCGAGATCCTGGAGTCCTTCAGACCCTTCCAAGAGGCTGTAGAGAAGGTCAGCACTCCTAGCAACCTAGGAGTCCAGCCGAAAGGACACATGCCTGACACTACCAGTGAGCAAAGCAAGTTGAGGTTAAATAATTCAGGCTTTCCTAGAAATCATTCCTTTTCAGTGTCTCTAGGGAAAAATCAGGAAAGAGAGACAAGTAGGATAGTAGAGCCAGAGCAGCAAAACCCAAAGGGGAAATAGAGAAGGGTTCAGAAAGGACCTTCTGGGCTCTTTGGGTGGATAAAACAGATCATTCCCAGTCTCCTTCCACCCAGTACTGCCTGCCTGCCTGCTGCCTGCCTGCCTGAGTGGCCAGGATTCTGAAGGGTCCAGAGCCTTAGAGCCAGGAGATAAAAGCTGGGGGCTTTGTTTTTCCCTTTGGCTAGGGGTTTTTCAGTCCTTTCCCATTTGGGTACCCTAGGAAGTGAGGTCCAGGATATAGTTATGCAGGAGCTATTCAGTGTAGCCCCTGATCCATTGATTGATTGATTCATTCATTCATTCATTCATTCATGCATACCTGAAAACTCCTGGAACAGAAGCAACTCCCAACCCACCACCCCACATAGCTTGCTCTCCATTTTCCCCTCTAGATTATCCAGATCCTGATAGTTTCTGCTGGGAAAAGTACCTAGAAGAGACTGGAGCCTCTGCTGTCCCTTCCTGGGCCTTCAAAGTGGTAAGTGTCAAGGGAGGAGCAGTTATGGGAATGAGGCCTAACAGAGGGCTATAGCTGCTACTTTCAGTGATCTGAAGACCCACTAGAAGAATCCAGAGAGGGATGCTGGACCTCACTGACCTGCCCTCTATTTTCATGACACCAGTGTGGTGCAAAAGAAAAAGCACTGGGGCAGCTGGGTGGCACAGTGGATAGAGCACCGGCCCTGGAGTCAGGAGGACCTGCGTTCAAATGCGGCCTCAGACACATAACACTTACTAGGTGTGTGATCCCGGGCAAGTCACTTAACCCCATTGCCTCCCTCCAAAAAAAGGAAAAACAAAAGAAAAATCACTGGATTTGGAGTTGGAAGACCTGGATTAAATTCCTATGTTACCTTGGACAAGTCAATTAACCTCTCTGGGCCTTACTTTCCTCACCTGTAAAATGAGAATGTTGAACCAGATGGCCTTTAAGGACATTTCCAGCTCTCTGGAGAAGTTCTAGATGACCCTTACCTTGACCCCAGGGCTTTGACCTTTAACCCCTCTGGATTTCTTTGATATATTTTATATTTACTTTTCTGAGTACCTGTTGTTTTCCCAATAGGAAGTAAGGTCCCTGAAAGAGGGAAAAATTTCCTTTTTGTCTTTGAATACCCAGAATCTAGTAGTCAGTCAACAAGCATTAAGCACCTATTATATGCCTGGCACTAGGGATACAAAGAAAGGCAAAAAACAGTCCCTGCTCTCAAGGAGTTCATAGTCTAATGGACCAGCACATGGTAGGTGTTTAATAAATGCTTGTTGAAATAAATGGATGAAATAATCAGCCCCAACCAAAGGTCACCTACCCTGGGTCCTTTCCGACCTGGATCCCTGAAATCAAATCCAATTCAGTTCAACAAGAACTATGCCTTAATATGTGCACGGTATTGTTCTATGGTTTACAAAGACAGTAACAACCAACAGTCCCTGCCCTCAAGGAGCTTACATTCTATTGGGAGATGCAACTTGTAAAGTGATAAATAAATCTAAAATACTTGCTATATTTTGGATATAGGATAGTAAGAGGGAAGCAGCACTAAGCGTTAGGAGGATGAGGGAGGGCTTCCTGTAGGAGGTGGCACCTGAGCTAAACCTTGAAGGAAGATCAGCTGCATTTGCTCCTTCTGCCTCTTCTGATGTTGCCACTGCCACAATATCTTAGTGGCCAGGTCCAGCACCTACTTCTTTCCCTTCTACCGCTTCCCCTACCTCCCCATTCACTCCAAGCCACAAGAGCGCAGAGTCGAGGTTGCATCTACAAAGAGAAAATTCAAATTCAGATTTAATATAGCAGAGTAAGGTAGCTAGAACTGCAAACAAAACTACCAAGTCCCAAATTGGATAGTATTTAACTGCTAAATTCTGTTGAGGCGCTGTTCCCTGGGCCTTGCTGGGCCCAGATGACTCCCTTCCAGGTTGGAGTGTCCACATTCTCATTCATCCTAATGAGAAGCAAGGTGGAAAAGCAGGAAAAATCCTGGGTTTGGAGTCAGGAAGCCTGAGTTTGAATCCTCGTTCAGTGTAGTGGAAGGAATGCTGGACTTGCAGCCAAGAGAGACCTGAATTCGAGTCTCACTTCTGAGGCTTATTAGTCAAATAATCACGAACTACTCATTAATCTCTCTGAAGTTTATTCAATTTCACCATATGTAGAATGGGGTGATAATACTTGTGGTCCTTACTTCCCAGGATTGTTGTGAGATTCAAATCAGTTAATGTTATTAATTAATATGCCCTATTCTTCCCATCCTTAATTAATTAAGAGTTAATGTTATTTTTAAAGTTAACTTATAAATGATATGTTAGTATCGTGATTATTGCTTGGAGCAAGTCACAACCTCTCTGGGCCATCTATAAAATCTGAGTTTTATGATTAAATGAGAATGGGGTTTCTTATTTCAAATCCCTCCCCACCTCTTAATGTGGCATGCCCACCCAGATACTCAGGCCCGAGCCCATGACCATTCTGTAACCCCAGGCTTATTTTTAGGCAATCAGGAAGCTTTCTCATTACTTAACAGAAGGTGCTGTTCCGCCCAAGTTCATAGTTAATTGGAGATTACCTAACTATGACGCACACCCAACCAAGAGAAAAATAAAGGAAATATGAAATAAGCATAATGTTTCCATGACCTCAGAAATCAGAGTACTTCAACTAGGCTCCCAAGTTGCCTCTAATATTCACAAAATACAGACTCCCATGTGGAGGAGGGATCATACTTGTTCTGCTTGGCTCCCCACTGTGGAACAAGGATCAACGGGTGGACATAGAGGGAGGCAGATTTTGCCTCATTTTAAAGAATAACTTCTTCATAATTAGAATTGTCCCCAAACAGAATGTGCCACTCCCTTTCAGGGGAGGTGTTGAGGCGGACCACCTGTCTTTATAGAGGATATTCCTTCACTGAGTTAGACCAAATGCTCTCTGAGTGACCTTCCTGCTTTGAGATCCAGTGGCCCAGGTGGTAGATTTACTCCGCAGCCACTCCAGCATTCTCTCTCCTCAGACTACAGGGCATACAATGGTACACATAGCTGCCTATGGAGCCCTGAAGGGAATACCCCCATGGGGTCTGGCCTCTCAGAAGAGGTTCAGAGCACTTGTGTCGTCAACTGTCCCCCTGAAGTGCTAGCAGGGGTGGGGTGAGCCCCAGAGGAACAGCAGAGTGGACAGAGCCAGTCAGACACCCTCAGGTTTGGTGGCTCCATCAGAGACCCATACTGGAACTCTGCTGAGCTAGGCTCTGTATGATGGCCTGTCCCTCCTGCAGCGACCACCCCATGGCTTCCTCATCAACATGAAGCTTGAAGCCGTGGATCGAAGAAGTCCAGCTCTGATCCGAGTGGCCAGCGTGGAGGACGTAGAAGACCATAGGATAAAGGTGGCACCAGGGGCTGGGAAAGGAGAATAGACTAATGGGGTGGGAGTCTCACTTTGTTCCCCAGACTCTATCCTGGCCCCTGCCCTTTAAGGCAAATCAAAAAACATTTATTAAGTGTCTGCTATATGCAAGTCACAGTGCCTGGTACTAGAAACACAAAGATAGATACATATAGGACAGAGTATTCAAGGAATTTATAATCTGATGGGAGAGGGGATAGTCAGGAAGAAAACATATACAAAAATAATTGAAACTGGGTGGAGTAAGAGGGAAAAAAAAAAGGAAAGTTACAAGCAAAGAAATTTTGGGGGGAAATTTGAAGGGAACTAGAATTTTCACCTGGTGGTCAAGGAAGGCTTCATGAAGAAGATAGCTGAATTGGGCCTTGAGGTAAAGGAGGAAATTCAGTGGACAGAAATGGAAGTGGGATGGATTATGTGAGCCTTCATTCCAGGCCTATGGGGTATGGTATGAGAAAAGCACAAAGATGAGAGAGGGCAGAATGAGAAAAGTGAAAAGAGGAAAAGAGAGTTTACATAGTGTGACTGGAATATAGATAACATGAAAGAAAATAGTAGAGTCTGGATGGGTGAGTTGGCTTTAGATTGTGGAGGGCCTTGAATGACAGGTGTTTATTCTTTATTCAATAGGCAATGGGGAGCCATTGAAGATTTTTGAGTAGGGTCATGAATTTATTGCTGAAAAAGCACCTTCAGGTCCTTTCCTAGATCATCTATACAACCCTCTCATTTCCTGACTCAAAAGTGTCAAATGCTGCAGAGAGTTCAGGAAGGGTGAAGATTGAGAAGAAGCCATTAGATTTGACTTTTCATCACTGGTAACTTAGGAGAGAGCAGTTTCAATTGACTGATGAGGTCAGAAGTTGCATTATGGAATGTTTAGGAGAGAGTGAAAGGGGAGGGAATAGAAGTGATGAGTGTAAATCATTTTTTCAAGGATTTCGGCCAAGAAAGGGAGGATGTAGGTCAAAATGTAGCAGTGGTGGTGGGATCTAGTGAGGGTTTTTTTTTTTAAGGATGGGAGAAAATAGGGTATATTTATAGGCAAAAGATAAGGAATCAGTAGATGGAGAGAGATAAAAATTAAAGAGAGAAAGAATGATAGTTGGGGCAGTATACTGGAGAGGTTGTGATCAGAGGGTTTGGCCTCAGTGAGAGAACCGTGCGTTCATTGGGGACTAATGTAAAGGGGGAAATAGTGGGGATGATGTTCAAGAAGTCATGAGATGAGGAGGAAGGAGAAAGAAGGAGATCAAAGTGAATGACCCAAATTTTTTTTTTATAAAGTATAAAGTGAGGACTTCAGGTGAGAGGGTAGGGAATGATGTTGAAAGCTTGAGGAGAGATGAGATTTGGAATAACCATTATGGAGAGTATCAATTAGGAAGGAATAAAAGGATTGCCTTGCTGCAGTGAGGGCCAAGGTGAGATGAGATAACATAATTTTGTAGCAGATCCAGTCTGCAGGGTCACGAGACTTGCTCTCACTCTGTCCAGTAGCTAGGTTGGTGCAGTGCATAGAGCAATGGGCCTGGAGTCAGGAAGACCTAAGTTCAAATCCAGCCTCAGACACTTGCTAGCTGTATGACCCTGGGCAAGTCACTTAACCCTGATTGCCTCCAAACAAACAAAAATAAAAGCACTTACCTCCCAGGACTGTTGTGAAGATTAAATAAAATAACATTTTAAAAGTGCTTAGCATGGGGTGTTGCACACAGTAGGCTCCTGATGAATGCTTGTCCCCTTCCTTTTCCTTTATGAGTAGGAACAAAGTACACAGATGGTGGGAGGGATCTAGGGTTAATATTAAGACAAGGGAATGGAGGGATTTGAGAGTAGAGCATAGTATAGAGATAAACTGGTTCATCAGAAGGTCAAAGTTGAGAAGGAAGAAGAGTGTAACTAGAGCAGGGGAGACAGCCTGACAAAATGCTAAGGGGTGGAGAAGTTACAGGTTATAGTGAGGAAGAATAAGGCATAGGGAGAGATGGAATGATAAGATGTTTTGACCAGAAAAAAAAAAAGCAAAGGTCTTGATCATTGAGTGGAACACTTTTGGATGATGCCAAGGTCAAGAGTATGACCTGTGTTAGCTGTGTGACCCTGGACAAGTCACTTAACAATGATTGCCCCACCAAAAAGAAAAAAAAAAAGAATGTGACATGTGTGTAGCCGAGGTAGAATGGAAGAGTAGGGTTGGGAGTAAGATAGATTGAGGAACTGAAGGTTAAGATATTTGGGATAACTCAACATGTAAGCTGGAAGTTTTTAGGACAGCAGCAGTTGGAGTGGAGAGAGAGGCTGTAAGCCTGGTGCTGAGCTCACTGACAAAGAAGGGAGCATGTCTTGGGGCAGGGAGATAAATAATAGCCACCACTATCTAAGTTGGATGATAAATTTAAATACAATGAGGAGAGGTTGTTGAGGGATGATAACATTCAAGGAAGAGTCAGATAGGGGCAATGGGGAACCAGGAATATTCCTACCCTATCTTCAGGTTCAATGAGTTGGGAATATGAGAGAAGGCCCAACCTATATTGGAAAGGAAGGCCAGGGATATGAGAGCCAGAAAATGGAAGGAATATGTGAGAGAAAAAAGTGTCATATGAAGGAGTTGGTTCATTATAGAACAGGAATTCCAGAGGGCACCTTAGAAAGATTGAGTAGATATGAAGAGTGATGCTGGGGGGAAGGTTGAGGTAGATGGGGATCAGAGAGCCTGCACTCCCAAGGCAGGGGCCACAGTGACAGGGTGGATGAGATAGGTCTGGTCTTCGGGAGAGTTGATTTCAAACATGAGAAACTAGATTATTAGTGGAGTCAGAGACAGAACGAGGGAGATCAGAGGGAGAAGGTTTGGAAGGAAAGGTAACACTAGCCTGGGAAGAGTTGAGTTTTATGTGCAGGTAGGGCATCTAGGTGGAGACACCATTTATGCAGTTGGAGATGTGGGTCTTCGACTCAGAAGACAGGTCAGGACTGGAGGTAAAGTCATCTTCATAAAGGTGATAGTTCAAGGCATGGAAGTGAATGAGCTCAACAAAGGAGTGAGTGTAAGGAGAGAAGAGAGGAGAGCCGAGGATGTAGCCCGGGATGCCTTCATCCTCTGAGCTTCTCTTGTCAGTCCTTCTTTATTCTAAGACTTTGTGGGGATCTCCCCATTAAATTGGCTAGGTTGAGTCAGAGGCTCAGAAAGGGAATCGACATCCTGCTCAATGTGAGTCCCTGTAGGGGAGTTAGAAAGCTTCAGATGAAGAATCGGAGGAGAAATGGCTTACACGTCCCCTCTTGCCCAGTGGGGGCTGTGGGCTTCCTCACTGGCTCTCTGGGGCCCTGCTGCAAAGCTCCCTTCAGCTGTCTGCCTCTGCTCACCCTGCAGTCTACGTGGGTCGGGGGGAGGGAGGAGTTCCTGGCAGTGGGTTGGGGAAGTTGGAGCCTGGCTGCCTTGCTTCCTCAGCTCCACTTTGATGGCTGGAGTCACGCCTACGACTTTTGGATTGATTCCGACCATCCTGACATACACCCTGTGGGCTGGTGCTCCAAGACTGGCCATCCCTTACAGCCCCCACTCAGTATGTACCTGTCCTCCCCTCAAGGACCCCTGGGCACATACCCCTGACTCTGTGCATACCCCTACCAAGCAGAAACCTGGAGACACTCCTCATATCTCTCTCCCTTAGTACAGATCCCTTCCCTCCATTTCATGGAGTCCATCTGATACTTTCTTCTCTACAGCCCCACCCCTCCCTGGGTTTGGGAGTCAGGGGGAGGGATGGTGAGGGTGGATGGGCAGGCGCTTTCAGGAACTAAGTAATCCTGTGTCCTCTACATAGAGGCCTTAAGCTGGGGGAGGCAGCCCCAGGAACCTGGGCTGACTTGATCCTTTTTTCCTGTTCTCTCTTTTCTAGGACCCAGAGAACCCAGCTCTTCCTCTCCTGGGGGCTGCCCCCCACTCAGCTGTAAGAGCCCACCCCACGTTAAGACCTCCAAGTACAGTTTTCACCACAGGTGGGTGGGTGAATGAGTGAATGAGTGAGCAAGCAAAACTTTCCCCTTCCTCCTGCCCTGGATGACCATTCTCTGCTGGAGAGATGCCATAGGGCACATTCCCTGAGTTGTGGTCGGCACTTACACATATACCTTGAGAAATCCAAACTTGCCCACAAGGTGCGAGGTGGGCAGCTGAGACTTACCTAAGCTGGGTAGGGTGATCCTGTCTTCCTTTTCCCCCAACCCTGCTGCTAGCCTCTCCCTGGGGCCCCTGTCAGGAACAGAGGACATCTCCTGGGTATTGGGAAGAACTTTTGGACTTCAGAAGACTTGGTGAACTTCTAAAGAGGATTTGAAACTGAAAGGACAAGGAGAAAGAGAAGATGCTCAAAGAGTTCGATTGAAAATAAACACTAAAGAAAAACAAGATAGAAAGGAGACTCCTCCGATCAAATCTGCAGTATTGTCTTTAGTTCTAAACACCAGGCTTTATGAAGGATGTTATCAAACTGAAGCTCCCAGAGATGCTGCCCAGGATGGAGAGAGGACTGGAAATCATGTCATATGGAGGTGAATCAAAGGAACCGGGGATGTTTAACCTGAAGAAGAGAAGACTTGGGGAAGGAAGACATGATGGAACGTGGGCTTCCAGTGTCTGAAGGATTGTCATGTGGATGATGGATTAAATGAATTCCGTTTGACCTCAGAGTAGAAGTAGGACCAATGGACAGAAACCACCGGAAAGCAGATTTTGGTTCAATATGATGGCGAACTTGAAAACAGTCAGTGCTGGTTAACAGGGGAATGAATGGCCTCGTGAGATGGGGAGCTCCTCATCTCTGGAAGAGTTGAAGCAGAGACTAAATGACTGTCTATTAAGTGTGTTATAGATGAGGTTCTTGTTGGAGTGGGAGGTTGGCCTGGGTACCCCCTAAAGTCCCTTCTAACTAACACTTTGTGGTTATGAACTCTGTAAACAGCTATAACTGTGTTTACATGAGACCTATGTGAGTCTTCTCTTTTCAGCCTGTTCCTCCTCCCCACTTCCCCCCTCCCCCACCATCCATCCCTGAATGTGTCCAGATAGTCCTGGCCAGTGTGGGTCACATAACTGGGGGGAGGTTTGAGTCAGGGTCATGGAGGCGTGAGGCCTTGTGGAACAGAGCATAGCAATGAGCAGGATAACCATCCTCCGGAGGACCAGAAGATGCAGCAACAGATCAGAAGTCAAGTCAAGAAATATTTATTAGGTGCTCCAGACACTGTACTAAGCACTGGGGATGCAAATAGAAGCAAAAGAAAAGCCTGTCCCTGTCCTCCAGGAGCTTACATTCTAATGGGGAAGACAATGCATAAAAAGAAGTTGAACGAGGGCATGGTGGAGAAAGAAGGCTGGAGAGTCAGGCATGGGGCCCAGAGAGGAAAGAAGGAATGAACGTGGCTGGCCTCCCTAAAATGGAGGTTCTGGGAGGAAAACACCGATCAGAGGAAGGGGCCGCAGAGACATCCAGGAATTGTGTCTACGCAGAGGACTCAGGGGTACTCAGGCCTAGGCATCCAGGAAGCAGGATCCGATCCCAAGACTGCCGGTCACTTTGGTTGTGTCTCCTTTCCCTTCCCAGGAAGTGCCCCACGCCCGGCTGTGACGGCTCTGGCCACGTCACCGGAAAGTTCACAGCCCATCATTGCCTCTCAGGCTGCCCACTGGCTGAGAGGAACCAGGGCCGAGTGAAAGCTGAGCTGTCGGACACCGAGGCCTCTGCACGCAAGAGGAACCTCATTGGCTTCACCCCCAGGAAGAAATCCCGACACCACGGCCGGTAGGAAGAGGCCCCCCAGCTCCCAGGGCTGGGGGCTGGGTGAGGGGTGTCTCCTCGGGGGGAGGGCCTCAGGTCCTGTAAGAAAGGCCCAGGGGGATGTGGTCATCTAGATCATGACAACAACCACACCTGTCGGGCCCATAACTTCCACGGCCTTTCTCTGTTTCTCTGTAGGATTGGGCGCCCTCCAAAGTACCGGAAAATCCAGCAGGACGATTTCCCGGGTAAGTGCCCAGGAGCCTTCCTTGGCATGGAACGACCACATTTTCCATCAATTCTAGCAGCTTCCTGGCTTGTTCCTTTGTCTTGGTGTTGCCATCCCCGCATAACCCAGCATAGGACTCTGCATTCGGTAGGCGCCAAGTGAATGTTTGCTGGATGAACGATGTGAATGAAGCCAGAGAAAACAGGAGGGGACTGGGGGATTCTTGTCTGGGCAACTGCTGGTCCATCTCCAATCCCTTCCAAAGGGTCTCTCCTTTTCTATTTCTTTGCTCACTATGTCGAGACTTCTTCCTGAGAGAGGGAGAAATGCTGCCTGATGCTACATTTAATAAACTGAAGAGAGGCTGCTTAGGGCTATTACCCCGCTGGCTCTTCAGTGGTCAGCCTGACAGTGCAGACATCCACTCACTGACAATGAGTTCATCAGTGTGGGGTGGCTGTGAGCAATGCTAAGAGGCAGAGAGGACTCATTAGGTCCATAACCAGACCATGGAGCCAGGGGCAGACAGGGAGATTCAAACATTTTGATTCTAAGAGCCTGTGAAAGAAACCATAAATTCAGTAGGAGTTTAGATAAGGAGTAATCACTATGAGGTCATGTATCTGAGGTGGCTTCACAGAAGAAATGGGATGTTAGATGGACCTCAAGGGAGTTGGAATAAGGAAAAGAGGGAAAAGGACATGAGGGTTTGTATGCAAGGCAAAAATTGCATGAGCAAAACTGAAAACAAGCTTGTCTTCTTCACTGGACAATGTGAAGGCTACATCTAAGATGACTTCTTGATGGAGTGATGACAAGTATATTTGGATAGGTAGAAAGAGGCCCAGCTTGTGAAGGGTGGGCCCGAGACAGCAAGATAGGTATTTTCCCATGAAAGAAGCCGAGGCCAATGAAGGTTTCAGTGTATAGTTCCAGCTCCTTGGTTGTTAAAGTTGGAGGTTCCCAGGGGAGTGGAGGAAGGAGACAGGCATAGCAGCCCTTCAGGACAAACATAGGGCAGAAAAGCAGAAAGATAGGGTGACTACAAGGAGAATGTCAACAGCTAGCTTCTGGCTTCATCATTGTACCCAAAATGAGTCATTACTTTGAGGTCTTTCCCTTGTATCCCAGACCTATAGAAAGAAGAGGCTGAGTTTCAGTAAAAGTGAGGGCAGTTTCTACCTCTGCCCTTTCTCTCCCTATCAGTGTAAGTGATTGCTCTCCAGGACTTCTCCCAAGCTGACTTTTGCCCTTTCTTCTCTGCCACAGGCTATATGGGGCTGTGATGTGTTGAGGCTAGCCCCTTTATTATATCCTCACCTTTTATCTAGCAGGTTTTTTTTTGATGCCTAGCCTAACTCCCTCTTGCTGTATTTTCAGCCTATCCCTCTCAGTGGGCACCTAGATCAAGGGAGCAGCCACTCCCGTGGAGTCAGCCCTGGGCAAGCTCTCTCAGGTTGCTTTAGCCACCAAAGGGAAGGAGACAGGCCAATGTAAATAATATATTCTTTATAAAATTGCATCTCTGGGAACATTTTCTAGTCTAGCTCCTTCACTCAAAATAATTTAATTTGATTTACTATTTTTATTATTTAATTTAATTTAATTTGTTTTGTTTTCACATCATCTACATTTTCAAATATACCCTTCCCCCCCTCACCCATCCAGTGAACCATTCCTCATAATAAAGAATAAAAATTTAAAAAAAAAAGCTATTCCACAAAACGAATGCATCACCTGTGTCTGATGGTATATGCATTGTTACTTCTCTGTCATCCTCTCTAAAAAAAAAAAAGGAGATACATTTTCTCCTGTCTTCTCCAGAACCAAGCTTGGCTATTATAATTACCAAGCACTCCGTTTCAGGGGTTTTTTTGTTATTGTTATTTCCATTTACATTGTTGCAGTCCCTGTGTATATTGTTTTCTCGGTTCTTCTGACTTCACTCTGCATCTGTTAATACGAGTCTCCCCATGCTTCTCAGAATTCTTCATATTCCTTGTTTCTTAGAACACAGAATATTTCATGGCTTCCACGTGCTACAATTTCTATAGCCATTCTCCTTATTTTGCAGAGGATGGGGTGGGGGGGCGGGGAGAAGTGTGTTGCCCATAGTATAACTAGTCAGTGGCAGAGTCCAAGGCTCCTGACTCCCCAGTCACTCTTCCTACCACTCCTTGCTGCCTTTTTTATGAAGCTGATGATGAGTTTCTTAATGGCTCCCAGGACTTTGAAGTTCTTAAATTGTTTGCAACAGTCCTACAGATTAAGTGGTGCAAGGATTATTCTCCCCATTTTACAGAAGGGGAAACTGAGATTCAGAGTTTAAATGACTTCTCCATGGTCACATGATAAGTATGAATGGGGATTGCAACACAAATCTTTTGACTCCAAAGCCAATCCTTGAACAAACTGCAATGTTTCTCATTTATCCTTCTTTGAGCTTTATTATAGTGGGCTCACCCCCAGAATTCTTCCTTTGGAAAGGTATGTTGGGGAAAAAAGCTGTTGGGTAACCACCTGTTTTCCATTTCCCCTGAGGTCAGAGTGAAAGGAAGTGGCCTTGAGATGCAGCTAGAGGGATGACAGGTAGACATGAGGAAGAAGCTGGCTATGATGGGAGAAATCCTGGCTTGGGTTACTGTGAAGCAGAGCTATAACTAGGGTGGGGTGACTGGAGCTTTGTCCAGGACATCAAAATTTAGAGGGTGCTGACAACACCAGCCCTGGGCATGCTTCCTTCCACAACCCCCAACGACCACATCTCAGGTGAGCTCCCCTTACCCCACTCAGTCTACCCCCTTTATCCAGATTGGAAAATTCCCAGTTATTGGCCTGCTATGAAGAAGGAAAAGTTATAAAATATTTCTCTGGTGTTTTGTGAGAATAGAGTATGCCCCTTCTCCCGACAGTGCTAAAGACTTCTTGAAGTTATCAGGACAGACAGGATGACCTGGAGAGCCTGGACAGAGATTTTGTCTGGCAGAAGCCCTTGCAGTTGTAGAGAGTGGACTCTCTTGAACTGAGTAAAGGAGCACAATGGGAAAACTTCCCTCAGACTTGACCACAAGGAGATCCTTTGGGACCTTATAGAAGGCAATGTCTGTGGACAAAGTTGGGCCCCTAGTCAGAGGAGAGAGAGATGAGTAGGAAGCTGGAGAAACTATCTTAGAGGCAGGAGATGTAGACCATACAGTTCAGTAGGGGGAGAGGAGAAAGGAAAGAAAGCTATAATTGGATCCACAGCTAGAAAAAGAAGATGTGTCCTCAAACTCTCAGTGCAAAAGTGAGGAACCTTTTTTATTTTGATGCTCATTGACCTAGGTGGCGCAGTGGATAGAGCACCAGCCCTGGAGTCAGGAGGACCTAAATTCAAATCTGACCTCAGACACTTACTAGCTGTGTGACCCTGGGCAAGTCACTTAACCCCAATTGCCTCCAAGAAAATAATTTTTTTAAATCAACTGAGATTCACATATTTAAAAGTCACTTGATTTTTATTTTTAAAAAATGAGGTATTCTAGGCATCCACTTTTTAACTTAAGAACACCAAACATAAAACTCAGTTCAGCAAATAATAAAAAAAACACAGTTCAGTTCTTTAGCTAGTTAGAAGAGGAACGGAAAGTAGAAAAAAGGAGAGAAGAATGAGGGGAAAGGTAGAGTTCAGATTTAGAGCTGAAAAGAAGCATAAAGGTCATCTAGTCCAACACTCTTATTTTATAGATGGAGAAACTGAGGCCCAGAGAGTTGACGTGACTTGCCCAAGGTGCAGAGATAGTAAATGACAAAACCAGCATTTGAACCCAGGTCCACTAACTCCAATTGCGACATTCTTTCCGCTGTACCACACTGTCTCCCAGTGAGAGGCTTTGGGAAGGGAGGGTTAGTCTTGGCTGGCACTGGCATGGCCTGGTTGTTCTCTACCCCAACCTTTAACACAGTCTTGAGTGCATGGGACAGGAATACATGAAGGGTCTGTGCTTTTATCAGTTTAAAGAACCCTCAGGGTAAGGAATCTTTCCACCAACAGTAAGCTGCAACTACCTATAGCTTAGCAGAAACCGTGTTTTACTGTATAATCGTTGCAGATTTTTTGCCAAATTTTTTACAAAAAGTGGGTTGTGACCATTATGTGAAGCTTTTAAAAACATGTGCCAGTATTACTTAAAAATCATTTACTACTAAGTTGTCTTTGATGCAAGATTTGGATGCATGGAATACTGGTGAATATATGTTAATATTGAATACTGCCAATGCTGTGTGCTGAGAATTCTAGGCTCCTGGCTCACAGTGAGAGATAAATGCGTATCCGTATGCCACCGCTGAATACATTGCTGCTCTGTTTACTTTTTAAGCAGCTTGACAAACAGAATTATACATGCAACAATTACTTCATGAAAGGTATAAACCAATTTTTGGACTGTAAAAAAACACAGAAGGTGACTATTATGTGGTGAAATACAGTCAATCTTAAGACGGGTATATTGAGACTCATGAAAAGTAAATAACTTGCCCAGGTTCACACCCAGCAAATAAATGTCAGAGGGGAATATAACCCCAAGTCTTCTTGCCTGTTAAGGCAGTACTATCTCTACACTTCTCTTATAAGCACACAGTGGGCCCTAAATAAACTTGGAGCACAGTGCTGGGCACACTGTAAACGGGGAATGCCTAGCACAATGCTGAGCATCCAATAGGTATGAATTAAATGACTGTTATTTGTTGAGGACATAGCAGGGGCTCAAGTGTTCACACAAAATGCATCTTAAGGTGTTTAGCACAGGGCTGGGCACACAACAAGCCCTTATAATTATTTGTTCTCTTGGAAGAGGGAGTTGGGTGGATCAGAGAGGGTTTTAACAGTAAGGTGTGGAATGTGGATCAAAGAAGGATGTAATAGTGAGATATGGAATGTAGGCTACTCTCCATCAATCAACAATGAACAGGTATTTATTAAGTGCCTACTATTTATTAAGGCGACTTACTCACTAGGCATTGGGCTGGGGATACAAATGACAAAGAATAAAACAAACCTTACTCTCCAGGTACTTAGATGCTAACTGGGGAGGCCACAGTACATAGCTGAACGTTATGCAGAATAAATGCAGAGGAAACCAAAAGTCACAGTGCAGTTTTAAGCTATTAAAGCTCTTAATATCTTCAAGCTATTAGCTATTAAAACTGCACTAAGATTTTTGGGATGCATAAACAGCATAGATAAGTATGAATGCAAGGTAGTCTGTAAGGGAGAGCATTGGCAGTTGGGGGAGTAGGAAAGGCTTTATGTAAAAGGTAGTACTTAAACATTTAAGCCATATCTTCTTTTATTTTAAAAAAAGGTTATGGGGGTAGCTAGGTGACACGGTGGTTAGAGCATCAACCCTGGAGTCAGGAGGACCTGAGTTCAAATGTGGCCTCAGACACATAACACTTACTGGCTGTGTCACTTTGGGAAAGTCACTTAACCCTGATTGCCTCACCGAAAAAAAAAAATAGTAACTGAAAGATAAGAAAGAGCATGAAAAAAGCCTCAAGAATAAGTACCCCCAATTGCTGAGAAGCAGTGTGGTGCTTCTGGATCAGAAGCACAAAAGCTGTGTTCTTCTAGAGTATCTCGGTGGCCCAGGAGTCAAGAAGACTTGAGTTCAAATCCAATCTCAAGCACTTACTAGCTGTGGGTCCTGGGGCAAGTCATTTAACCTCTGCCTGCCTTGGTTTCCTCAATTGTAAAATGGGGATGATAATAATAGCACCTACTTCCCAGGGTTGTTATAAGGATCAATAAAACAAATCATCTCATCAATGAAATAATACTTAGCACAGTGCTTTGCACACAGTAGGTGTGCTTAATAAATGCTTTTTCCTCTGTCCCCCTCCCCCATCTCCTACCTGATCATAACCTTTGTGATCTTGAGTAGGCCCTTCATCCTCATTTTAAGTTGCCATGGCCAAACACTACCCACCTCATTTGGATAATCAGTGTGAAATACATATACATCTGTTGCATCCTCACAACGTCAAGGATAATCCCCATTGTGTCAAACAGCCTCCCCCCATGGGGATGTTATGAGAGGATGCGGGGCATGGCCAAGAGTCACATAAGATGGGATGGGAAGGCAGGAATGGGTTGCTGTTTTCATCACTGGTGCGAGCTTATAAGAGCATAGATTTGGAGCTGGAAGGTGCCTTCGAGGTCATTTAGTCCAATGGCCTCATTTTACAGATGAGGAAACTGAGGCCCGGAAAGATTAAGTGACTTGCCCAGCTCAAAAGCAGGAATCAAACCCAGGTTTTCTTGACTTCAGGTCCAGTGCTTCACCTTGCCCCATCAGTGTGGAGTACTCACACTGATGAGCTCACATCGATACATCAAAGTATAACATGGAAGGATAGGAATAATCATTAATAATCAATAATTAATTAATAATCAGCCTCCCTCACAAAGTTGCTTGTACACTTTCATTGTTATGGGGATGGGGAGCGGGCAGATAGGATCAGGATCAGCCCTTGGAGAAGGCTAAGGATGGACCAACTTAAGTCTGAAGCTGTGGATGTCCTGTGTCAGAGACAAAGTGGAAGGCCTTAAGCTCTTAGGAATCAGGAGCATGTATTTACTCATCTGGATTGTGACGACAAAGAGGTTGAGAGTGACCTGTCTTTGGTTGACCCACCTACTCAGACCCTGCCCCCCATTCCTTTCCAAGCATGCCGCCTCCCCCAGGCTTAACTTCTCTGCTGGCTTTTGATGCCCTGCAGGAGCGTCATGCACTGCCCAGAGGGGGCCAAGCGCCCCTCCCCATTTGTCTGTCAGGCTTTGCATTTGGTTTCCAGCTTTGCCCCCCGACAACATGCACCAATCCTTCTTCATGTCGGCCTTGCCAGCTCACCCGGGTCGTTCTTTGTCCACATGCTGGGAGCAACACTGCAAACTTCTGCCGGGGATAGCAAGTGTCAATGCAGCATCGGTGACCAAATGGACCATCGAGGAGGTATGAGGGCACCACTGGGTCTGGGGAGAGGAAGCCTCCTCCCACCTGCCCCCACACTCCTCTAATGAAAGAACTTTGCAGAGGTGTCCTGAATGCCCCCTACCAACTTTAGGTGCTCCCTCCCTGAGCCTGACACAGCAAAGTTGGTGACAACTCACAATTGCAGGATCACCCAGCCTATATTCTGACTCTTGCTTGTTCAGGCCTGGCCTTTTCAATGGTGCTGCCTCAATTTTCTGTACTTTGACAAGTCTACTGGGGGCCTTTTAGGGGGAAGGGATGGGAATCTTCCTATCAGGGGCCCTCACGTACAAGGGCCCCGCTTCTTACCCTGACTTGCAGGAGCAGTCACCAAATACAGCATTCCAAGATCCTGCCTGGGGTCAGCTTCATCTGGTGGCTTTGGGCACAGGAAACCTCTGGGTGCCTCATGGGAAGCCAGGGGGCATTTCTGGCCTGTTTATTCTACCTTCTTACTTCGCATCTCTTCTCCTCCCCTCTGCTTCCTTCTCTCCCTTTTTATCAATATTCTCTTCCCTGATTTCCAAGGTCTTCAGCTTTGTCCAGATTCTGACGGGTTGTGATGAACAAGCCAAACTCTTCAGAGATGAGGTAAGGAAGGCCCGGTCAAAGCAGTGGGGAGGCTGCTGTTCAAGGCAGAGGGGTCGGGGGGAGGCAGGTGTACCTGCCAGCTGCTGCAAAGAGCAGGCTGGAGCAGCCTCTGGTTTGGAAGCCAGACCTCAGAGAGTCTCATCCCATCAGAGGCCACTGGCTCCCCAGGGCCCTCAGTGTCTACATCTCACTAATAACACATATCCTGGGGAGGAATGAGGCATGGGCTGTAAAGGGGGATGGCAAAACCCCCAGAGAGACAGCAATGCTCTCTGTGTGGGCTAGATTTTGAAAAGGACAATAATGAACACTCGTGAAGTTAATTCAGGTTCTATTTATTCTCCTGTTGTCAGTCTAGGCATTTGTTTATTTGAGCTAACCAGCATTTGCCTGAAGTGCCAATCAGCATAAATGTTTCTAAAATTTCACAGGCATAACATAAAGGTTTATATCCAAACATGACATTTAAAATCAAGAGGCAGGGCCTTATTTGAGCTAATAAATGGTTGTCATTTAAAATAGAAGTAGAAAGCAATCTCTAATTCATGACTATTAATTCAAACCCTGAGGAGCCAGTTAGTCTAACTATTCAAAACAGTGGTGAAGCCCTATTGACTTCTGCTTGCATACCTCGGTGGTGGGCTCTCATTACCTCATGAGACAGTCCATTCTGTTATAAAACTGCTTTCACTCTTTAGGAAGGTCTTTCTTAGGTTGAGATGAAATCTGCTTCCCTGTAACTTTAGCTCATTGTTCCAAGGTTTGCTTCTGGATGGACACAGAATAAACATACTTTATCTTCCACAAGGACAACCTTTCAAATATTTGAAGATCATTATTCTATCTCCCCTAAATCTTCTTTTCACCAGGCTATACATAACCAGTTCTTCAAGTATTCCTGTGATAGCATGGTTTCCAGACTTTTCATCATCCTCATCAGGCCTCATTCCTGTGGTCACTCCCTAATTTGTCAACATCTCTCCTGAAAAAGGAGTCCCAGAACTGACAACAGAACTCAACATACTGTATAATTTAGGTGTGGTCTGACCGACGCAGAGTGCAATGGGATTCTTACTTCCTTTATTCTGGGCAATAGACTTTTACCCAAGGCAGCCTAATTGTGACCCCCTTTTTTTTTAAGCAACCGCATTACAATGTTGTTTCACATTGGCCTTGTGTTATATATTAAAGATTCCCAGGTCTTTTTCACCTGAGCTGTTGTCATCTACCCAGGCCCCACCCCCCACCCCATTCCTCTACTTGGACAATTGATTAAGTAGAATATATTTGATTTTGTTGACTTCCCATGATTGTTTTGAATCTTGTTTCTATCATCAGTGGTCTCAGCTATTCATCAGCAGATTTGATAAGAAAATCTTCCTTTGGTCATCCAAGTCATTGGTAAAAATATTGAACATGATAAGGCCATGGATAGAAGCCCTGCTGGCACTAGCTCTCTCTAAAGGATATTCTGCCATTCATCTACATACTTTGGGTACAGTTATTCAATTGGCCTTATAGTATTATCACCCATATTCTTATTTCACCATCTCATCCTTGAGGATATCATAGGAGACTCTACCAACTGCTTTACTGATATGAAGACACGTGATACCTGCAACATTGACGTGACCTACTTATGCAAAGGAAACCTGTCCCCCAAAAAAGGAAGGAGAGGGGGTTAGTTTAGCATGCCTTATTTAGAGTGAACTAACATTAGCTCCTAGTGTTCACTACATTTTTTTTAATATTTACAAACCATCTGGTTGATGTTCTCTTTTTCAATTTTGTTACTTAATGATATCTAGCTCTGTAGTTCCTAAAATCCACCCTGTTCCCCTTTTGAAAACAGACGTTTGCCAATCTCTAGTCTCCTGGGGCTTCTTTTGGTCTCCATAATTTCTCAAAGATTATTGGCAATTAGTTGGGAGATTATATCAGAAAATTCTTTCAAGTAGCCTGGGTTGTGATTTATCTGGGCCTGGAGACCAGACCTAATGTAATGGGAATAGGGACTGTCTTACTATTCTCATTATGATGCTTATAATTATATATTATCAATCAATAAACATTTATTAAGTGCCTGCTATGTACCAGGCACTATGCTAAGCATCTGGGGATACAAAAAGAAGCCAAAGACAGTTCCTGCCCTCAAGGAGCTTACAATCTAATGCTCAATGTCTTAGGTGTCATGAAATTCCTCCTTGACTTTGTCTTGTCCTTTCCAATTTGAAGACCATTCTCATTGCTAGAGATGATGGGAGCAAAAGAGGAGCTGCCTAGTTCATTCTTTTCCCTGTCAAAAATTAAAATCATAAATCTCTCCAAGTGGCAGACTTTTCCTTTCTACTTCTTGTCTTAAGCATGGCTTTCAAAGGCCCTTCTTATTTTTAATGTTTTTTGCAAACTTCAGCCTGCCCTGAACTTTGCAATACTGTTTTTGCACACAATGGCTCACTCTGTTGGACAGTACTTGTCCTTAGTTATGGGCTACTTCTTTCATCTTTTGTATACGTCCTTTTAACTGAGCTCATCAGAGAGTTCCCTACGTTGGTGTCTCTACAAGCTTCCCCTTTGTCTTCCATATAGCAACTATTTGCTACTGTGAGATCAAAGTTTTCTCTTCTAGAGACTCCCATAGCTATATTCCCTTTTAAAGTCTCTGGCCAACTTCCTGGAACTCGGTCACTGTGTCCCTGTGGTTGGAGGGGGGAGGTGTGACTCTTGCTCTATTTCCATTTTGAAAGATCAGCATGGCATTCTCACGAGAAGTGTACCTCATTGCAGCGTGGTTTCAACCTTAGCCATGGGATCGTATGTCTATTTTTTTTCCAAGTGTTTAAAACTCAAATTTCCTAAGTCTTGGGTATATCTCTGGGCCCTGTGTCCCTTTATTTCACTCCTACCATGCTAAGATGAGGTCATTGTTCCCTGCTGGGAAGATTAGTCTCTTCACCTTTAGGGATGAATTCAGTAACAATTCAGTTGTCAATTTGTTTAGCACCTTCTAAAGTGTAGAACCCGCTCTCTCTAAGCACTTGGGGGAGATGCAGACTGTGCCTGAGACCTCACTTCTGCTCCTAGAGCTTAGTGAAAAAGGAGACAGGGAAATCGTAGTTGAGAAAGATGAAAGTGCTTGCAACATCTCAAGTGAATGAGAGGGCTTTAAGTACATAAGCTCTGTGGAGAGCTCCCCCATCCCTGGCTCAGTGGGAGTCACCTCCTGACTGCAATCTGGCCATAATCTACAGGAAGAAAGGTTTGGGAGAAAAAAAAGGATTAAAAAAAAATCTCTGTGCCTTAAAAAAAAAAAAAAAAGAAAGAAAAGAAATACAATTTAAAAAAAAAAGGAAATACAGTTTTAAAAGAAAAAAAGAAAATGTGAACAATCCAAACTTCCAAGCAGAGTTTCACCTCCTAGTAATCTCATCTAATGGATCAGGATACTGCATATATAGGATATTTCAAACCAGTTAGTTTAGATTTAAGCTATTAAATGCTATTTAATATTCCTATTTAATTATCAATACTATTAAAGCTATTAAATGCTATTTCATATTCTTATTTAATAATTAATACTATTAAGGCTTTTAATACTATTTAATAGTTAATGCTATTAAAGCTTTTAGATACTATTTAATATTCCTATTCAATAACTAAAACTACTTAAACTTTTAGGTACTATTTAATATTCCTATTTAATAACTATACTATTAAAGCTTCTGATATTATTTAACATTCCTATTTAATAAGCTATTAGGTACTATTTAGTATTCCTATTTAATGAGCTATTAGGTACTATTTAATATTCCTATTTAATAGTTAAAACTGTTAAAGCCTTTAGATACTATTTAAGAAGCTATTTTATTCTACTTAATATTGCCATTTAATAACTAATATTATTTAAGTTATTAGATACTATTTAATATTCCTATTTGATAACTAATATTATTTAAGCTATTAGGTATTACTTAATATCCTATTTAATAACATACTATTAAAGCTTTTTATACCATTTAATATTCCTATATAATAACTAATGCTATTAAAGCTTTTGATATTATTTAATATTCCTATTTAATAAGATATTAGACACTACTTAATACTGGTATTTAATAACTAATATTAAGCTATTAGGTACTGTTCCTATTTAATAATTAATACTATTAAAGCTTTTTGACACTATTTAATATTCCTATTTAATAACTAATGCTATTTAAGCTATTAAAGCTTGCAGATATCTGAGATGCCCTGTATCTGTAAGTAAGGTCATTCTCAGAGTGAAGAAGGCCAGCCAGAACATCATAGCCAGTGAGAAGACCCTCAGTGCCCAGGCAGCCTCCCCCCTTAAAGGCTCCCTTTGTTCTCAGCCATCCAGTCCCTTTAAGAAGGGATGTTCATGGGAACAGAGGTGGGAGTGGGTGAGGGTGCTCTTCTTTTAACTTCCCATTGGTTCCAACAGCTCCCTTAATGCTCTCTCCACATGGCCCCCAGGACTTTCATAGCTTTAGAGCTGGAAATGATCCTAGCCCAACCCTTTTTTTCTTCCCATGCCCCCCACAACAGTCTCTGACCCACAAGCTCCCCAGAGTCACAAACAACCCTTCAGGCTTTTACCTTTCTATCCTTAAGACCTAGCTCCCCATCATCTCTCCCTCAGCACCAATCACTCCTGGCCCTGTCCCATAATTCAGTCAGTAGCTACCAGGCTGTGTATGCAAAGAGAAATGATCGAGGGAGTTCCATGATCCATTCGATGAGATTACCAGGGGGTGAGGTTATGCTTAGAAGCTTGGATTCTTCATACCTTTCAGCAAGCCCTGATTTTCCATTGTTCAAACATCTTCCTCATTAGGAAGTTTTTGGTGACTGTTCCTAAGGGGGAAGAAAATCTTAAGCTCCTTGTAATTTCTTTTTTTAAACCACAGAATCCAGTGTTCCAACCTTAGATATTTTTATGAAATCCAAAGACATTTTGTACCTAAACCATCAGTGCCTGTGCAAATGCCTGTGTGTTTATAGAGAGAAGCCACTACATCTTTCTTTCCTATCTCTTGGTCCCTCTTCCTTTATTCCTTTCTCCCCCACCCCCATCCTCCTCTTTTCTCCTTTCTCCTTCTCCCTCCTCTTCTCCTTTTTCTTTTCCCTTCCCTGTTCCCCCTTTTGCTCCCCTCTCCTCTGTCTCCCTTTCCCTTCTCTTTCTCTCTTCCCTTCTTGTTCTTTTCATCTCTCTTCTCTTTTCTCTCTTTTCCTCTTCCCTTCCTGGTTCCTCCTTTTCTCTCTTTCCTGATCACCCTTTTCTCCTTTCCCTTCTTCCCTCTTTCTTCCTTTCTCTCTGTCATCTTCCCCCCTTGTCTTCCCTTTTCTGTCTCTTTTCCTACTTCCCCTTTTCCTTTCTGCCCTCTTTCCTTCCCTCCTCACCACCTTTTCCCTCTCCATCCTCCCCGACCCCAGAAGATTGATGGCGAGGCCTTCCTTTTGCTGACCCAGGCGGACATCGTGAAGATCATGTGTATCAAGCTGGGCCCAGCCCTGAAGATCTATAATGCCATCCTCATGTTCAGAAATGCCGACGATACCTTAAAGTGACTGTTTTCCTGGGTCAGGACTCCCAGTCATCGGGGTCCTCCCCTTCCTGCTGACATCTTCTTCTGGCCCCAGCTCCCCAAACCTACAACCCTATCCTCTCTCTGTCTTGCCTCTCCCTTTTGGGAGTCTCGTCTATTTCCATCCCAGGTTTGGTCTCCATGTTTCTGGGGTTGGTCCTTAGGGAGTGGGAGTGAAGGGACTTTGGAGAAAATGCAGTCCCCAACTCCAGAAGCCGAGTTTTCTCCTGAGGTTCCTCGCAAAGGCAGAGCATGGACTGGAGATAGGCCTTCCTTCCAAGCTAGCCCAATATCTTGGGTCCAGCTCTGTGCCCACACATTCTAAAGTTGTTGTGGGCGTTATTGGGTGCTGGGGGAGGTAGGGACAGGACTTTTGATCAGGGAATACCTGGAATGGCTGTAATCACATGGTCCCTCAAATCTCCTCAATAACTCTCCCTGGGACTTTCTTTTTTGGCAACTGGACTTTTTCAGAGCAGTCAAGAGCAACTTTTCAAAAGCTTTAAAAGCTTGGCAGAATGGGAAGCATCCAAGAGGAAGCATCTTCTTCTGACATAATTTTTCTGAAGTCTTCACCCACTTTTCTCTCCTTGTCAGATTTCCTATTCTATTCAGTTGGCCCACCCATTTACTACAGCTTCCCTCTTCTCCTTCAGCCTTAGCAAAGGCCTCAGCTCCTTTTCTGTCACTGGTGACCCTGCCTGACCACAGGCCTGGCTCCCTGGGCTAGGCCATCTCTGCTGGTAGAGCCCACCCAGGCCTGACCCAACTCCTCTTTTTTCCCCTCTGATATTCTAATCCACAGGGAGATTTGTTTTTAGAGGATCTGTGGCAAATCCCTCATTGCCTTCCTCCCCATTGCTGAGGAGGTCAGAATTTGAGCCAAGATGCCTTTTTTGAACATGCCTTGAGTACCAACCCTGGGCTATGTGATGTTCCAAATTCCAGTGCCAAGGTCCCAGCCCCAGGGTTTGGGAGACAGTCTAAGGTCTCTTTCAAGGCAAACAAAGGTTTAGATAATTTTTTTAGACCACTCCTTTGCTTTTCCAACATGCTCTCTTCTCATTGGCTAAAGTTCCCACCATCCCACCACCCCCAAGCAAAGGAGCTTGGGAGTGACTGCTAGTGAGAGAGAGGTTGGCCTAGCTCTTGCAGGACAATCTCTACCAAATCCCTGAGCAGCTCGTGGGGCCAGGGGAAGGGTCAGGTTCCCATTTCTGCAATCGCTGCCCCTCCCTGCCCCCCAAGGATGGGGATGGGCACTCTCATCATGTAACACCAGCAACCTGTCTTCACTGCTACATGTCTACAATCCACTTTGGTGTGTGGGTCAAACTCATGCTAGGCTTCCCATGGAAATGTCGCATTTTGACTCTTTACTACTGAATATGTGGGGTCACTTCTGACCTGTCATTTACATATTTGCTGCTTGCTCTTCATGAGAAATTTTTAAAAAGAAGAGATGTTGGGGGTGGGGGGAGGCTGTGAGTGTGTGTGTATGGGGGCGCATGTAGGCAAACTTTTCTATCTTTTTTAATGAGTTCTCTGGCATCTGTCCCTTCCTCATAACTGTCCTTCCTCTCTGCCACTGCCAAACTGTTTCCTACAAGGGTGGGGACTCCTGGGAACCTAGCCCTTCTCTGCTTCGGGGTGAGGGAGTGGGGAGAGGAGAGGGACCCCTGGCCCTGAGCAGTCACTGCCAAACCTGCCCTTTGACCCAGATGGCACCAACCCTTTTCCTGAGAAGGGGACTAGGCTGGAATGGTGGGATTCCTTTGATTCCGGCCTTACCGGTGAGGAATTTTGAGAATGTGGGCAAAAAAGACTCTCTTGGGTCCAGATCCTTACTATGAGCCCTCCTTGTGGTCCCCATCCTGAGTACTTCAGTGACTCGGAGCTCTTTGCCAAGGGAAACAGACCCCTGACCAGAGGAAGCCCTGTATCTACCTACCTTGTACTAGATGGGGAGGGCAGGGGGAGGACACCATTTTTTCACCTTCTTCTGGGGGCCCACAGAGTCAGCCTCCAAGGAGAACAAAGGCAAACCCAAGACCATAAAGTATATATCTGTCCATAGAGCACCAGCCTTGGCCCTGCTGGGGTTACAGGCTACCGTCCAGAACCAGTGGCTCAGTGGGAAGGGGCCCAAGGGCTGGGCTTCAGGTAGGACGATTACCTGCCCCACACAAGCTACCCCAGCCCCAATCTAAGCAGACCAGCTCTGCTCTGGCCCCTGGATCTGCTCAGGCTCTGCCCTTTAAACATGTTGAATGTGTCGTTGTAGAGGGGAGTAAAGCCTGGATGAAGTGGACCAGGGGGAGAGTGGATGTAGCTGTCTGTGTGTTGTGAGCATGTTGGGGGTGGGGGGTGGGGAGAGGGGATCATGTGTGTAAGGGAAATATATGAGTGGATGAAATTGTGTATAATGTGAACATGGGAGAGATGGGGATATGATCTGGGGGTGTGATATCTCTGTGTAGGGGACCCATATACAGTATCTGTGAAGTCATGTCTATCTGCATGGTGTGACCACATTAGCTGAAATGTGACCGGTAGTTGAGCGTTCCCTGTGTGCGTGTGTATACATGTATGTATGTGGATGGAGAGGTAAATGAGTATGGAAAGCACCTGTGAGAGCAATGTTATCTGTATATAGTATGAGTGTGAGTGTGGCCTTTGTAGGCATGTGAAATGTGTGTGATAAGATTGACACAGGGTTGTATGGCTATATGTAATATGAAGAATACGAGGACGTATGTATTGTGAAAATGGATAACATGTGGGGAGGGGAAAGGAGGGTGATATGGAGGGGTACGTGAGCCTATGGGTAGGAATTTCGGAGAGTTTATTTTGTGGAGGTGGAGAGGGTGTTGTGTCTGTGTGTGGTATGGAAGAGAAGCTAGTATAAACACAGTGAGAGAGGTATGTGAGTGTGTGGGTGTTATGTGTGAGGGGATATTGTGGTTAAGTGTGTGATATGGAAAAGATGCTACGAGCATGTGGAGCTGGGGGACGTCTTCGGGTGTAAGGAGCCCTGACCATAGGTGCTGACCTGAAAGGCCATTTGCCCAGGACAAGGTCAGGACTTAGGGAGAAAGTTAAGGGCTATTACAATTTGAATTTTTTTTTCTTTCAAAACAAAACAAAGACAAACCCAAAGCATTGCCCATTCCCACCCCCTCACCCCACCAAGGTGGAGCCATGCTAGGGTTCGCTTGAAGCTGGGGAAGCTGAAATGAGAGGCCCTTGGGCCCTCAGTCTGCAAGTTGCAGAGAGCCAAGCAGAAGCAGAAGGACATTCTTGTGGATGCATAGGGTGGAGGGTTGGGAATGGGACCTCTGGAGTCACAGAGGAGCCTTTCTTGGGGAAGAGAGGAGGGGGTCCTTGGGCAAATGGGGCAGGTCCTAGGGAACTGTGGGAAAGGGTATCCTGGTGCCACCTGCATCACTCCCTCAGAAGGATGAGAACTTGCTGTTGTCTTTGTCTATGGTGCTACAGCGACTACTGCTTATCCTGACCAGGGACTCTAAAGCCAAAGGCATTTTGGGATGGGGTGAGGGGGGCTGGAAAACGAGCTGCAACAGCTTGCCCAGAGTGACTTGGGACTTACAGGACCTGGCAGGAGCCCCCACTTCTGGGGTTTCCTCTTTGGTGGTGAAGCTCTTCCCCAGCTGATGAGGCAGCTTGGTGCCTTGGTGGGGGAGGGTATCTCGTTTCGTCACTGTCCTGCCTGCTCTCCACTCCCCCCCCCCCACTTCTCTGAGTTCGGCTGTCTGGGGCTTGTGCCAGCTGAATCACTCATACCCCATTACCTCTGCATTACTGCTCCAAAGTGAAGAGAGACCTCAGAACCCAGCCCTGGAAGACGGGTGACTCATTCCAAAAGGGCATGGCTCTAAAGTCCTTTGGGGTGATGGGGCTGAGTTTTGTCAAGGCCACGCTGGGGCAAAGAGGGCAAGCAGGCTGACTGACCCTCCTGTAATCTGGTTCTTGGGCCTGGCATTATTTTTTCTAGTCATGACTCTGTTAAATGGAGAGAAATGCTCTTTCACCCCCTGCCTTGAGGCAAAATGACTGGTGCTAGGTTAGCCTCTCCAGGAACCCTAGGTGAGGTGCTAGGACGGTATTTGTTTCCACTGAGGGATGAATCTGCCAGCAAAGACTTGTGTAGTTTGGTTGTGGAGAAAGTAAGAGGAGCCAGGGACTCTTGGAGGAAGAGGCCCTCACCTCTCCAAACCTGGAAGCATCCATACTTCCTGCATCAATGTCAAGCACTTTGGAGTGGAAGAAAAATCACAGAAGAAGAGAAAATTCAGCCATTGCCTTCTACCCCTCCAGGATGAAATCTTTGCACTTGGATGTGGGGGAGGCAATGGAGGCTGTTTCTGGCCTAACTTCTTTTACCCCTCTCCTCACATCCCCCCACCCCCACCCCACCAGTTTCTGAGGGAGGGGAAATCCCTCCCTTTGGCCCCAGCCTAGCCCTGGACTTGAGAAGGGAGAAGAACTTTCCATTTAAGTTTGGCGTTTGGGGGTGGGGGGATAACTATGGTGACAACAACGAAGGAAACTTTTGCACTTTTGTTCTTTTGCACATTTTTTGGGCACGTTTTTGATATTTGCACCATTTTTTGTGTTTTCATGAGGAAAATACTCTAGTTCAAGTGGATGCAGCTAATCTGGAGCTTTATGTCCCAAGTATACAGAGATTTAAGTGGGGGGGAAGTTACAAGCAAAGTGTGATGTGTTTTGTCAGTGTTTTGAAATTACCAGTAAATAAATGTGAACAGCTGAATCAAACAATGTCTTGATTCTCTCCATATGTTTCTTTACACTCCACCTGCTTCCCTGATGTCGTGGTCCTCTTGGAGAACGAAGGACAAACAGCAGCCTGCTTCCCAATATTTATTCACACGTCACCTGCTTCCCACAAGGTTCTGAGGTAGTTTATATAAACCTAGTATAAGACAAAACAAAAATTTTCTCAATGAAAAAAGTTGGGGGGCAGAGAAGTAGATGCAACCAGGCACCAAGGATAAATAGTTCTGACTGTGGAGCACAAAAGTTAGCTCTGTGTGAGTTTTCTGGAAGCCCAGCCAGAAAGGAGAATGCAGTGAGGTCTAAGGTTCTTGGCTAAAGAACATTGGATGTGGAGTCGAGACTGGCATGACCTAGGGCAAGAAACTTCCTTCTGAGCCCCAGTTTTCTCTGTAAAAATGAGAGAGAGAGTAGACTGGATTGCCTCTAAGAGACCACTGAAATTGGCGGTCCTACAATTTATGATTCCTTCTCTTCTAGATTCCTCTTTCGTCATTTGCTGTTCTGCAACACCAGTATTACAAGGATCTACAATTTCATAGGAAGCAATGAAACAAGCATTTAGTGAGCCCCGACTATTGCCAGGCACTGTGCTAAGCCCTTAACAAATATCTCATTTGATCCTCATGATAACCCTGGAAAGTGGGTGCTGTTATTATCCCCATTTTACAGTTGGGGAAAACAGGTTAAGTGACTTGCCCATGGTCACACAGCTAGTAAGTGCCTGAGGCTGGATTTGAACTCAGGCCTTGCTGACTCAAGGCCCTGTGCCCTATGCATTGCATTATCTACTGCCTCTGTAAGCCTTGGGAATATCTCCAGTGACACATCACAATCTCTCTGTGATTTATGAAATGATCTTTGTGAGTTACTGTGGCTAAAAAGAAAAAAGTCGCCACCTGGTGATATGCTGCCGGTACTTGAAGACTTTTCAGCTTGGTAAGACTTTCTATAACTCATCCTCAACTGAAATAGCCTTGGGGAACCCAGGATCATCTCAGTACCACAATAAGGCATCAGCATAGGACTTTAGTGGAGATATCTTTATTAGTAGTAACAAAAGTAATAGTTGACCTTATAATTGTGCATCAAGATTTACTATGCAGGGGTAGCTAGGTTGCGCAGTGGATAGAGCACTGGCTCTGGAGTCAGGAGGACCTGAGTTCAAATCCAGATTCAGACACGTAACACTCACTAGCTGTGTGACTTGGGCAAGTCATTTAACCCCAACTGCATCAAAAAAAAAATTTGCTATGTACTTAAGCGTTACCTTACTTTATCCCCAGTGAGGTAGGTGATGCTAGAGTTACGTAGCAGTCCAGTTCCCTCCCAACTCTAGAACCCCCTGATAGCTCCAGGTAAGGTACTTGGGGTAATTATAATTATTCAAATACAGCTCAAAGCCTAGGTTATAACCATTTATGGCTTGGGCCTTCTTCTCCCTTTATATTGTTTCACATTGTAATTTCATCAGCTGTGTATTCCATTATTACCTACATGCTGATAATTTTCAGATCACCTTTGCAGCTCAAACTTTGCCTTGTGGACATCTTGACGAGGTTGTCTTATAGACATCTTAAATTCAATATGTCCAAAACTGTACTCACCTTTCCACCCAAGTCTTTCCCTCTTCCTCGCTTCCCAGTTACTATTGAAGGTACCACTGTCCTCTGTCCCCCCAGCAAACAAACGTAGGTGTCCTCACTCTCACCCCCACCCACATCCAATCTGTTGTCAAGTCCTACCAAAATTTTACCTTTGTGATATCTCTTGAATACATTCCCTTCTCTTCTGACACTGCCACCACCCTGGTGCAGGCCCTCATCACCTCCCTCATAGACTCCAGCAATAGCTACTGGTGAGTCAGCCTCCCTCTAGCGTCTCCCTCTCCAATCCATCCTCCATTCAGCCACTAAAATGATTCTCCTAAAGCACAGGTCCGACCACATCCCCGTCGTCCCCCCCTGATTCGGTCAATTCCATTGGCTCTCTATGGCCTCCAGGATCAAAAGTCCTTCATAATGTGGTCCCCTTCTGCCACCCCAGGCTTCTTACACTTGACTCCACTCTGAGGGAGTGACCCTCCGTCAAGGGAGACCCAGTGACATTGATGTCCTTGCTGTTCCTACACAAGACACTTCACTTCCTGACTCCACATTTTCATCCGCTGTTCCTCCATGCCTGGAATTCTCTCCCTTTTCCTCTCTGACTCTTGGCTTCCATGACTTCCTTCAAGTCCTGACTAAAAACCCACCTCCTACAAGAAGCCTTTTCCAATTCCCCTAAATGCTAGTGCCTTCCCTCTGTTCATTATCTTCAATTAATCCTGTCTATATTCTGTTTGTTCATAGTTGCTTGCATGTTCTCCCCTAGTGGACCGTGACCTCCCCAAGAGCAGGGGCTCTCTTTTGGTTTCTTTGTATCCCCAGGGATCAGCACTTGGTAGACATTTATATAAGTGCTTGTTGACTGACCCGAAATTATACAAAACAAATAGGAACCTTAAATCAAGGAGTCAAAGTGTCTAATCAAGATATAATAGCCAAGTAAGTAATACAGGGCAATCAAATAATGGAATCATCCTTACCACCAAACTCAAATCTGTACAGCCCCTTACAAGTCTTCAAACAACTATAATCTAATCCTTTCACTCCCCCAATATATCAGGGAAGGAAAACCAATGCCAAACTCACTTGCCTGGTGGAAGTTAGGTTTCAGTTTCATCTTCCTCTTCAGATTCTGCAGAAGCCTTTTGAGGCGTATTAGAGATCTGCTGAAACCTGCTTGTGTTCAGGCATTAGCTTTGGCACCAGGAGCCTCAGGAACGTGTTGGGACCCCAGGGTTGCTCAACTCCCCTACTGCAAGCTTTCTTAATCAATAAACAACTATTAAGTACTTAACGCCAGATACTGCGCTAAGAACAAAGAATAAAAAGAAATTAAAATCTCTCCTCTCAAGGAACTTACATTTTAACAGGGAAGAGAACAAGCACATATAAAGTTATACACAAAAAAATAAAAAGTAGCTAAAATTATACATACAACAAATAGAAAGGGAATAAATACAAGGTATTTTCGGGGAGAAGGCACTAGCATTTGGAGAGATTGGGAAAGACTTCATGTAGAAGTAAGTGTTTGGGCTACATCTTAAAGGAAAAGAAAGATTCTGCGAGGCAGAGGGAAGGAGAGACTTCATTCCAGACACGAGGGATGGCCAGTGCAAAGGTTCAGAAATAGGACTTGGAGTGTTACATGTAAAGAACAGAGAGAAGACCAGTGATTAAATCAGAGTACAAAACAAGGTGGGGAGGAATGTACTATGTTAGGTTAGAGCCAGGTAGTAAAGGACTTTAAAAACTACCCAAGCGGGACAGCTAGGTGGCAAAGTGGATAGAGTCCTGGCCTTGGAGTTAGGAGGACTTGAGTTCAAATATGACCTCAGATACTTGACACTTATTAGCTGAGTGACCCTGGCCAAGTCACTTAACCTCATTGCCTAGCAACAAACAAACACGCAAAAAACCAAACAAAGCAATAGAAAACCATTGGAGAAGGGTGCAGAGGGGCACTGATAGAAGGGTAGGTAGATTGGGGAAGATAAAGATCAGAAGCAAAACACTTTTCAGAATGGACAGGGTGAAAGGAGAGTAGGATAAATGAGGGGGGCAGAAGTAGGATGGATTTCCTAATACATAGTAATTATAACTGTAAAAAAATTTTTACAGCAAGTTTCTCTGATAAAAGACCTTTCTCAAATATATAGAGAACTGAGTCAAATTTATAGAAATAAGAGCCATTCCTCAATTGATAAACAATCAAAGGATATGAACAGACAGTTTTCAGATGAAGTAATCAAAGCTATCTATAGTCCTGAAAAAATATGAAAAAATATGAAAAAATGCTCAAAATCACTACTGGATTAGAGATACAAAAATTAAAGCAACTCTGAGCTACCACCCCACACCTATCAGATTGGCCAATATGACAGAAAAGGAAAATGACAAATGTTGGAGGAGATGTGAGAAAATTGAGACACTAATGCACTGTTGGTGAAATATTAGTGTTGGTAAAGTTGGCAAACTGATTCAACCATTCTGTAGAGCAAATTTGGAATTATACCCAAAGGTCCATAAAATCATGCATACCCTTTGACCAAGCAATACCACTGCCAGATCTGTATCCCACAGAGATAAAAATCAAAAAGGAAAAGGACCTACATATACAAAAGTATTTACAGCAGCTCTTTTAGTGGTGGCAAAGAACTAGAAATTGAGGAGATGTCCCTTAATTAGGGAAAGGCTGAACAAGTTGTTGTATATGATTGTGATGGAATACTATTGTGCTATACAAAGTGATGAGCAGGATGCTCTCAGAAAAACATGAGAAAAACTTACACGAACTGATGCAAAGTAAAATGAGCAGAACCAGGAGAACGGTGTACCTAGTAACAGCAATAATTATAATGATCTGTGAATGACTTAGCTGGCATTGTACTTGGCACCATGGATCCAAAGGCAAAGAGTAAAACAATCCCTGCTCTCAAGGAGCTAACATTTTATTAGAGAACATAACAGGTATATACAAAGAAATATACAGAGTAAATATAAAGAGAATAGATGTAATAAATACAAGGTCATTTGGGAGGGAGGTTCAAGCTGCCAGTATTCATCAGAGGAGGCCGCTGGGTGGCCCAGTGCATAGAGTGTTGGACCTGGAGTCAGAAAGACTCATCTTCCTGAGTTCAAATCTGATTTCAGACACTTACTAGCTGTGTGACCCTGTGTAAGTCACTTAACCCTGTTTGTCTCAGTTTCCTCACCTGTAAAATGAGCTGGAGAAGGAAATGGCAGACCACTCAGGTATCTTTGCCAAGAAAACCCCAAATGGGGTCACAAATAGTCCAATACAACTGAACAACAGCATTCATCAGTGGCAGGACTTGAACCCATGTTCCTTACTCCAAAGCTGGCTTTGGAGATTTTGAACACTACCTGCAGCCTGCAACACTCACAAGTGGAGCCCAAACCAGATTACAATATAACTGGGAAATATTTAATAAAATTTTAAAAATGGAATAAAATATAGATAATATTAAAATGTGGTTTTCTAAGTCAATATGCAGCCCAGAGAGAGCTTTAC